TAGGGAGAGTCTCATCTGCATCCTCTGCATACTCAACAAGTTTGGTGGTCATGGATGGTATTACCCCTTCCAACAACCACTCCTTGGGTTAAGAAGGGTCTCATGTCTTACTTATTGAGCATGGGTGGTCACGTACTTTTCATACCCTGTTTCAGGGTGATGGAATTCTGCTCTTCATTTTCCACGTAACCCTCCCATAACCAGGTGACTCTCCCAGTTATGACACAGGCTACACAACACATGCAAGGTCAAAGTCAACTCCTTCCTTGTTTAATTTCACTTAGAAACAAATTAACAATTAAACGATCAACTCCCAGTGCTCAGCTAAACACACCTCCTCATCTTATGGCAACATAAACCCAATCTCCCTCTGCCAGGACAGCTGAACTCTGGAATCTGCTTCCCCCTCTTAATGACTTCCAGCTGTCTGTCTCTCCTTCTAGGCCTCCTGTTGCTGGCAGGTGCTATGGGGTGGGGAAAACTTCATCTCCATGTCCAGGACACTGATAACCACCTCCTTCCTCTGTGCTTTTTTTCCTGCTGACGTGCCCTAATTTATATTAGTAGCTTGTGTTTTTCATTGCCTTGAAGGCTGCAGTACCGAGGTCTGTGACCTCATTTATGAGACAACGAAAAAACAAAGCCTTCCTGATGGCAAAGGTAAGTGGAAGATTGTGACAGGAAGGCCATGTTACAGACTCCTTCGGCATCATGATGTAGCTGCCCTGGGGAATGTAACCTGTTGACTGATGTTTACACACCCAGCCTATACACATGGTAGCGTGTACTAGAGAAGTTTGCAGTAAACCAGAGGAACTTTCCCCATGAAGCCATGTCCTAGGAATTTTGATAAATTTTAGGAGGTTACTTGGTTTTCTGTCTTGTCTTTTTGGGGGTAGATAAGACCTCTGCTGTATTCTTCTCTGATTATGAGATGAATGGCACTTTCTTGTCACTGAGCGAAAAGTGAATAACACTAATGGTGGAACTCCAGGTCCCTGCATCAATGAATCTAGGGCTGCTATGCTGACCTTTTCCAGGTCTGTTTTTTTAAACTGTGCTAATTCAATTGAATATGTTGTAAGGGTAGGAATGAGGTCTGAAGTAGTATCCTTTATAACATGCAGTTGGAAAAAAAGTGTAGTTTTGGTCAAATACTTTTTTCACCATTTTTTTCCATTTAAATGGTCTACCCGTTCTCTTGGTTATGACAGGTGATCCGATATCAGATACTGCTTCTCCTTACAGACCTTGCCATTTTTATATCCCCAAACTATTGTTCCTATAACTACAATCACATTATTATTTATAGCTGTCACAAAAGTGAAAAGAATGTCCCCAGCAGCCCTGAATGCATACATAAGTAAAAAAACCCAAACCAAATCTACATCACAAAACATCCATAAACTTTTATTGAAAACAAGTATGTTTTGAATTCATTGCCTAAACAAGATCTAACATATTTCTAGGGTTATAATATGTTCTTGAGAAGCACATAAATTACTAAAATATTGAGAACATTGCCAAAACCTGCTAGAAATATTTTCAGCAATTTTGTGTGTAATATGAACATGATTCAATGAAAGATGTGGAATTTCCCAAGTGCAAAAAAAAAACAAACCAAAAATATCAATGCTTCTGCCTCCAAGGCAAATTAGGGAGCACTTCTCTCTGAGTAACTTTCACCAACACTGTAAGTGACAAAAGCCCTAGCAACTAGGTTTGAATTGCACAGTATATTTCTAGTAGACCTCTTACAAGTGGAAAAGCAACAAAAAAATTGCATGCTTACTCAACAGTTATGTATTTGGAAAATTTCTTGTGCTGACCCAATCAAACTGAATGTAGTTTCATTTGAAAAAAGTGAAATCCAGAGGGAAACATTTAGAATTGGAAGAAATCTGCCTAGCGGATTTGCATTTGATAGCTGTAAATGCAGGTATTCCAAAATACAAAGATCTGGGAGAAAGATAATACACAGAATACTCTGATACAAGGCAAGGTCTCTCAATTCACCAAAACTCGCTAACCACACACTTTAATTTTCTAAATTATTCTAAGAATTATCATGAATACTGTTTGGGTTAATAATTAGAAAATTTTTCTAGAGAATCAATTTATGAAATGGCAGGAAAACAAATGCAAAGGTGATTCATTATATAAAAAAGTCCTTAAAATAATTATCTTGCAATGGGAAAGTGTTAGTTGTGTGTTAATTGCGGTAACATATTGAGTCTACACAAAAAGCACATGCACAAATTTCTAAGGTTCTAAAGTCATAGGAAATTGTGGTCTTTTGTGTTGTGTCAAGCTGTGAACCTAGCCCCTGTAATAAGTGAATTTTTTCAGCTAAACTTTGAATGACCCTGTACTTGGAAAATGTTTTTAAATACTGTTTAGTCATTGTAGTTGTTTAGCAGTTAATCCAAGCATATTGTTTTTTAAGTAAGGTTAGCTTCTTGTTGCCCAGGTGTAATACGGAACAAACGGTCAAGGGGACAATGATAAAAATATTAGGAAACAGAAAGCAGAGAAGATAGTTATTAAAGGGCAAGGGATGTGGAAAAAGCAAAGGCTACGTAGAATCATAGTAACTGGGTAACTTACGGTAAAGGAGAATTAGAAAACCCTAAAAGCAAACAAAAATTTTAAAATATAAACATGTTAAAATTATGACATGATAATGGTCATTATAGTCAAACGCACATGTAATAACACACAAAGATAAGTAACTGAAAGTGCAAGATCACAAATATGAGATGATACAATATACAACTGTAAAAGTTACAATAAAAATTATAAAGGATGTTCTGAGGAGAGACATAGTATTGATCCAGTAATTGTTGAATCTCCTTAGATTTCCATATAATTGGAAGAAAACAGTCAGTGCAGTCTCTCACCTTGAAGTTTACATTTGTAACTGTACATGCAATAATTGCAGTAATAGTAAAAACTCTTACAAAAATATATTAAAGAAATAGATAATTTGGGCTCGAGTAGTGTAGCCACTTTTCTGAGAAGGGACTCTAGAGATCAATATGCAGCAAAAATCAAATTTGACAGGCAAAGCTATCCCCAAGGATGCAGAAATCTTTCTCCCACAGCCAAAGGTGGAAGGATTGGGTATTTTAACATATATTCTAATTCACACAAAGCTTAAACCTCCTTTGCTTCTCTGCAAGCACACACACACACACAAAGAATTTTGTTTCTTGTTACAGTGGTACTTGTTACAGGGCAACTTTTCCACAAACTGTACAAAAGTTACAAAGGAGGGGAAAAGAAAATATACTTCTTTATAAAAGCAGGTGTTTTTATAAAGGTGTAGCAAGATACTGACATCGGTGAAATGCAATTCAATTGGTGCTTCTTTCCAGGCTAAAATATATTCCGCCCCCATGTTTCAACTTTTTTCCATTTGTCTGGGAGAAACTCTGCTTTTTATGAGTACTTTGCTTCCCAAGTAGGCTACAGAAAATGCACAAGGATTTGCTTTGGCAATGCTATTTAACCCCTTATTGAAAAACCAGCTACTCTGCATATCCGGATCTTAAAACCAACACATTTATATAACTGCACCAGCCCAAGTATTTCACTTACTTGTAATGGTTAGATCTTCCAAGCCTTAGCTTTCAGTTGGAGGCTCTGAAATCCAACTCTGGGACTGATAAATCTGAATAACCTTCCTGTCTGAGGAGGTATGCTCATGCATCTTAAAGTGCTATCAAGACCTGCTCTAAAAACAGGTTTCTGACATTGTCTTGCAAACGTTATTACTTAATTCATATATAAAAAAACCCCCCACCATATAAACAAAAAGGAAAAGGCAAGATGCATCTCACTGAGGTATGGTGGAGACTCAGCACCTCACAGCAGAACACCCAGAAAAATCTCATTACCTCAGCAATATCTCTAAGTACCTGAAGGGAGGGTGTCCTCCTGGTGCTGAGCAATAGGACAAGAGGCAGAACCTGGTGCACGAGAAGCTCCATCTGAACATGAGGAAGAACTTCTTTACTGGGAGAGTGACCGTGCACCGGAACAGATTGTCCACAGGTGTTGGAGTCTCCCTCACTGTAGATATTCAAGAACTATCCGGACACAATCCTGTGCTATGTGCTCTGGGACGACCCTGCTTGAGCAGGGGATGGGACCAGATGACCCACTGCGGTCCCTTCCAACCTGACCCATTCTGCCATTCTATGAGCCTGTGATCTGCACGGTTCATATGGAAATATCTGGTATCTAAACACAGACGCGGCACAGGTGCTCCTACAGCTCAGGAAGGGGAGGAATCCGCTGGATTCCCAGGCATTTCCAACATCCCTCTCTTAGCACCCTGGCTAGATAGCAGCTGCTCCTATAGGGACTGTGAGGAAAAAAGAAGTCTGGACTCGCACACCGGGGGGGGAGTGACGGCTCACGCAGCCCACCCTTCCGAGGTGCCGTTCCTCGCCAGCAGAACGTCTCCCGCTCCCAGTCTCCCGCCCCGGGACCGCCAGCCCCGGCAAGGCGCATGCGCGGCCGCGGCTCGGGCGGGCGAATTCAAACGCGCCCCTCGCCCCTTCTCCTCGCTGGGGCAGCGCTGACGTCATTGCACCGCGTCCTCCCCTGCCCTGCGGTTTCCGGCGCTCGCCTGCGCCTGGAGAGCGGCGGAGCGGGGCAAAGTTTTCATTTCTGTGGTTCACGGCGACGTTTCTCTCCCCCAGGCGCGGGCGGGGGTTGCGTGAGCCCGCTCCACCCGGCGCGGACCCTCCTGTATCCTCGCCGTCCCTGCTGGAGCAGCGGCGAGGGGCTCTCGGCGATGGCTTCGTGGGGCGTGGAGGCGGCGGCACGGCGGGTGGTGGAGCTGGAGGAGGAGCTGCGGGGTCTGGCGGAGAAGCTGAGCAGCTGCCAGGTACCGGAGCGCGGGGTCGCCCGGAGCCGGGCTGGCGAGTCCCCCGGGTGCTGCGCGTTCGCCTCACGCTCTTGGGGGGCCCGGAAGGCAAGGACGGGGAGCGGGGCCCCGGGCAGTTCCGGGACGGTAATTAAGCCGGTCCGGGCCCTTGCCCTGGCTGAAACCACCTGTCCTGAGAGCTTTTTCGTTCCTCCCCAGAAGCCACGATTTGCTTGAATTGTAGTAGTAGTCCCGATGTGCTGCCTTGTGCAACTCCGGGGAAAAATGAACAGGCAGAGGGGTTTTAGAGAAATGTAGGTCTTGAAGGAATCTTTGGAGGTCATTTAATCTCTCACCCAGCCTTGCAGGGGGATCAAGTATACTTGAGCCGCTTCTGGGGAGGGAGGGCTTAATGACTAATTATGGGTGTACTTTGAAAAGTTCCCCCGCGTGTCGTTCCTTGAGACCTCCATTTTTCTAATTAGTTGTTCATCGCTGACATTTAGGTGTATTTCCTGAAAATATGAAAGTGTTGATAATACAAAATGAGTGAAAATTCTCTACCAAACACGTGGATTACACCAGAAGTATGCAGCGGAGAGGAAGGTGACATTTAATGCTGCAGATGCTTTCTCGCTTGATGGAAGCCAGAATAGTACTTTCATGTGGCATGTGGTCTGGTTAAGGCCATGAAGGCCTGGGCTGACGTGGTCATCAGAAGAAAGCATCCACCGTGGAGTTAGTTGAGATTCCCTTCTCCAAGCAGCTTTGGTACACCTGACAACTGGCACTGGTTCCTGCTGTGGATAGAATTCAGACTTCTTGAAAAAACATATTGCATGGAAGATCTATGGAGAGAGGGAGCTGTTAATGAAAATCCTGTTTGGAAATGCTGAACAATGCTGAATGGTTTGGGGGTATCTTCAATGTCTTGTGGGAGAAGTTCAGAAAACTCTTTATGAAGATATATATTCCTAGTATGCAGATGTGCACTATCAGAAAAAATTTGGTGGAAGCAGAAGGAAGGCCCGGTCGTCTGCTCATTTGGTAGTTGAACATAAATTATAAATTACTAAAACATAGTAGGATATAATATTTTTGAAGAGCATTAAAAATAATAGAAACTTGGAAGTAAACAGTACAAATCTGAATTCCTGATTCCTTTGATAATGTAACTTAATACACAAAAATTGTAGTTAAGCATCTGATTTCCCCTTTAGATGCATTCAATTATGTGTGTGTTTCTGCTTGTCTCTTGATGAACACATTCCAGTCTTTTTAAAGTCAGAAAACAGAAAATATTTTAAATGTATTTATTTTAATTCTCTTGCATATTATCTTGCCGTTCTTGTGTCTTTGTCTTTTATTAAATCAGGTAGTTTTCTGGGAGGGAAGCAGGCAAAAAAGAACAGGAAATAGTTGAAAACAGAAGCCAGTCAGTGTTCTGCAATGATCTCTCCAGCACTAGGTAGTATCCAATGTATACCATCTTTCTAATGACAGGGGATGCATGTCTGCAGGATTTATTTCAGGTTCTTAATAAAATAAAAAGAAAAGCGAGGTAGTAATCTATAAACAGGGTTTCTCTGAAAGCACTGCAATGTAGACATCTTTGCCATACTAATCTGTCAATAAATTTAGACAGGTTTAAGCATGTGTATGTTATGTAAAGAACAGGGAAGCCAGATTTTAATAAGTAAAAGAGGTGATAATGTAGTAAATTATGCAGCTTTTTCAATGTAGTATTATATAAGGTAATTAACTTTTTAAAAAGAAAGTTTTGTGAAGATATTCTGAATTTGAAGGGGAACTAAAGTGGTCTTCGGTAAGATCCTTCAACTGGTTTGAAAGTCAACTGATCAAATTATTTGGGGATGATTAATCCATTTTAAGGTCATATTTTGTGAAAACTTTGTGGAAAGACAGGCTATTTGAAAACATAAATACATATGGGTAATGTCAGTGTTATGTTTTTCTAGTTTCTTCACAGTTGTAATACGAAGCTTTTGCTGGCCAACTAATTCCTTTTGTGGAATTTTGTTTGATCTGCTGTGATCTACTTAGTTTCATTTAGATCTAAGAACTTCTTTGGTTCTTGTGATGTCTTTGAAAATTTGTATGTCTTTTTAGTAGAGTTGTGAAAGCATTTATGTTGAAAGGGACCTCTTGAGAGAATGTATTGCACCCCACCCTAGAGCAGGTTGCTCAGGATGGTGTCCAGTTAGGTTTTGAGTGTTCCCACGGCTGGAGGCTGCAACCTCTCAGGACAACCTGTGGAGGTGTGTGAAGACCCTTGCATAAAAGCGTTTCAGTGTCTAGTGAGATTTTGCTTGTGCTATGTTCCATGCTATTGGGTAAGGCTTTCCCTTCTGTAGACTACCTTAGCAGGCATTTTGGATAGAAATGTTATGTAATGTCTTTATAAAAGATGTTAGTGAGAGGGTGTTAACTTTTAGTCCAGCAACTGGACAAAATTGCCTGGGATTTTTCTTTCTTTTTTTTTTTAGTCTTTTTCCTTCTGAGTAATATGTTCACAGACACATAAATTGCACTTCCAAAAAAAGCTTCCCAGCTGAAATCTAGTTTAGTAGTTTAACAGTGTACTGGAACAAAGGGATTATTCTTAGGTATTTGTTTAGGTATTAGCCTCTTGAATACTTTTTTCCAAAGAAAAAAAGACATAAAATTGATGGTGAAAGCTTTAATTTGTTCTAGGAAACTCTAGTCAAAGTTTTAGAGAAGAGATGTATGCATCCAACAGTTATTTAGCATTTGAATAAATTATGCCAAGTTTCTCTTCTACACACCTTCTCGAACCATTATATTCACTGTAATATAAACTGCACTTCTGAAACAAAGTCTTTTCAGGGAACTGCAGCCCATTGATGATATGGGGTCCATTGGCTGAATACTTGGGAGCCTTTTCCAGCTAATGCAGCTCCTGAGTCTGGTGGAAGTATTGTGCACGCTAGCTTTGCTCTAACCGCAGGTGTTCCAGGCGTCTACTTCTGGATGTTGTCTCTGTTCTGCAGCAGAATCCTGGAGTACCTGACCCTTTTACTCATCTGGGATGGTGCCCTTTCTGTTCAAAACGAGATTCTCATTCGTATTTATTCTACCTTTTAAGATAACACTTCCCACTAAGTGAAGGTTCATACAGAGTCAAATATGGTATTTTTGACTTCCTTTTTTCCCCCCCCTTTCATTCTTTTCTAAAGCTGAGATTCTACTGGTAAGTCTTGACTTCTGCAGCTTAGGTTTGGAGTATTTGATATTTTCTTTAGTATTTCTCAAAACTTTGTGGGAGCTTGAATCATAAGAAGCAAGATCTTGGAGTAGGACATGTTAAAATCACAACAATTTTGTTGCAGTCAGTCTGTGAAAACTCGTGTTGACTTGTAATTCTGTGATAGAATTTGCAAAAATGAGAAAGCCAAGTTCCCAAATTGTCTACTGAGGAGCCTTGTATAAAGCTGAAACGATCTGTCTCTATAGTATGCTGTTTTGGGAAAGTTATGGTTGTGTCTGCAATAAAGCACTGTATAATTATTTTGATAATAATTTTTAATTTAAATACTCCTCCTTATTTTACTTGAGAAATTAGGTAATTGTTCTGGAAAACAACTGAAAACATGAAATTGTTTTTTATTTTTAAATTTCTTGTTTCCATTGGGACCTTGTTACATTTCTGTGAAGGGCTTGATGTTGTTGGGGGGCAGTGAAAAGGCAAAGATGATAGTAAGATATGACACATCTTGTCTCTAGTGTTTGTGTTAACTACTGCATTTCATTTCAGGGTTTTATGCTGCTACCTACGACCATAAAATTTCAAGATCCTCCCATGGAAGATCTTTGATACCTGTGTTCTTATTACTCCCAGTAGATTTTGTTTCTGTTTGGTGTTTAAAAGATCTGTCTTATGTTTTAACCCCATATTATTTTCTGTTGTGCTGTTTTCGCAAAGCATAGTGGCTCCTGGTGAAGGAAATTAGAGTGGTTTGGTTGGTTGTGTGTGGGGTTTTTTGTTTGGTTGGTTGGGGTTTTTTGTTTTGTTTTTTTTGGGTTTTTGATAAGGGAAATGATACGTGAGTGGCGTTTCTGAGCCAACAGAAACAGTACATTTTGAGTTTTCATGTACTTTAAGCTCGTATATTTCTTTAAATCACCTATTTCCTCTAGATTGATTCACAGCATATTCCCTAGTTGGTTTCCGGCAGTCTTTTTTTTTTCTTTCTTTTTTTTTTTGAAAGATACTTCATTTGGTATCAAAATGGTATTTGGTGTAAAATTTTGTTCATTCCTCAAGCAGAAGATTCGTATTTGGTGTCCTAGCTCTCATTCTCTTGCTAAGCTACAGACTCTTTCATGCGCCACTATTCTGTAATTAAAAAGATAGGTTCTTTCAAGTATTCTGTGATGGGAAACATCATCAAATCCTTGCTTTGGACAAGACAGTGTGATTCAAGACTGGGTTTTCCACAACCAGCAGTATTACTGGTAATACAGAAAGCTGGAAGAAGCAAATACGTATCTTCCGGTTTTACTTATGCTATTGGTGTTGTTCACAAGACGGCTTTGGTTTGTTTAGCTTTATTTCATATTTTTCAGCCTAGGATCTCTTTATTTGTTGAAAATGCTGTTTTGAGTTCAAACAAGTGTCCTAACAATTTTTCCATTATCAGTTTAAAAAAAACCCACACTATCAGCCTTCATTTTATTCATTGCAGTTTTGCTCTCAAAGGTAAGGTGACATCTCTTACTGCTGAAAGGATGCTGTGTTTTCCTACTTGAGGACTTCCTTTCTAAAATTGTGGTTCTGCAAAAACTGAAGTGCTTATAATGCCTACTCCTTTTCTGTGTTAGAAATTTAGTACACCATTGCATGGTACTCTGCACAGTTTATACTCATGGCCCAAAAGGTACAGTCTGTCAACCGCCAGTGGTCTGCAGACCATATAGTTTAGTCGGAGAAACCATTCTGCCCTATATGGTTTTCATTTTACAAATGCAGTTTATACATTAAAAAATAGATAGTTCTCCATTAGTAAAAAAGTTTGGAACTGATCAGTAATATGTCTGTGACTATTCTGCTGCTGCAGATTCACTGGCAAAATTTTCACACTTTCTGTCAGAAAGTGGTAAATGCAAATGGAGAATAAAGAGATCTTCCCATGGTTACTGCCGTTTTTGTTTCTCTGTATTAACAGCGGTTGGAAAGAAATCTTCACGAATGGACTTTGTGTATCTGTGGGCATTTTTGGGTAGACAAGAATCAAAAAAGGGGACTAACAGCCCTTTGTGGGAAGTGGAGTGACAGGGACTTAGTTGCTTCTGGCCTTGTTTTATGCTTTACGTTTCCTGCTTGTTGTGAAAAACTGTGCATTAGACCCATTCTGGTCTTCATGTCCTATTTCATAGTGTATTCGCAGAAAAAACCCAGTACTTTGTGGGCAGTGGAACTCTCATTTTGATCACTTTGTGGTTCAGGGAGGGCTGTAAAACACTCTCATTGCGATCACTAGCATTGATAACAGATCGGATTGCTATAACCCATTTTTCTCATGGAAAATATTTCATTAGCTGAAAAAGTAGATGCATTCATTCATTCTGGACCAATTTAAGATCCAGGACACTCACTGAAAATCTAGTTATAAATGATACCATTGAATAAGTAGTTTTAACACCCCCCCTTTATTTACAAGTAAACATGAAAAATGTATTAACTAACACCAAGACATTGCATTGCTTCATAATAGATGAATAGCTATTGGAGATGCATGTCAATTGTACATAATAGAAATGGTTTTAAATCAATAGTTGAGAATTGAAAGTAACAGTAAATTAAAAAAAACAAAACCATAGTTCTTCCCTGGTGATGTGTTTGTGTTTTTCTGTTGACTTTGCTGTTATTCTTCTACCTTTGTGACCAACATTGAAATTTTTGTGAACTACCAGTATGAGAATTTGAGCATGTCAGTGTTTCTTCTGAATGAATTGTTGATATCCATACTGTTCTTTCAGAATGGGGCAAAGTGTTTAATGCTTCCATTCATTAAATGCAAATTTCTTTTATTAGTGATTAAGCGAAGACCACATATTTATTGATGCCAAGGGATGCCAGGTGTTTAGTGCTTTCGGTGGTTTTTTTTGTTATTTTATACTCTTATATTTTGCCATAAGGAGTGTGAATCACATGAGTCTAATTAGTACAGGTGTTGTTAATAAAGGTCTTACTCTTTATGTATTATAGACAGAAGTAGTGTTGTTGAATAGCTAAGTTTATTTCCTTTTACTTTTGACAAATTTCAGTTCACTAGAATGAAATTTTACATACCTGGTCTTCCTTTTCAAAAGTACTGGTTTAGAATATTTGAGTAAAACTGAAGATGAACTAAGAGCGAGATTTAAACAAAAAAAAAGTATACTTCTGCATTCTATAAAGTAGTTACCTATTCACAGTATGTCTGTGTGTGAATATTTCAAAATACCCTAGCATGTGAGTGGGAATTTAAGATTTTATATAGAGATCAGAATCATAGAACAACTTGGGTTGGATAGACCTTGAAAGATTATCTAGTCCAGCCCTTCCAACAGGGATGGCTTTCAGTACATCATGTTGCTTAAAACCCTGTCCAGCTTGTCTTTGAACACTTCCAGTCTTGGGGGGTCTGCAAGCGTCTTCCACTGCCACATCATCTTGTTGTCCACACATTCTTTATGTCCAATCTAAATCTACATTTAATCTAAATTTAAATATTTTTAAATTAAAAAGCATTCAGTTTAAAACTGTTGCCCCTTCTCCTGTCACTTCAGCCATTTGTAAAAAGTCTGTCTTTCTTACAAATGCCCTTCAGGTATTGAAAGGCTGCAATCAGGTCTCTTGTAAGCATTTTCCAGGCTGCACAAACCTCTCTCTCTCATCCTGTTTTCACAGAGAGGCATTCCAGGCCTCTGATCAGTTCTGTGGCCCTGCTATGGACCTGTCCTGATATGGCCATGTCTTTCTGGTGCTGGGGTCCACAGAGCTGGACACAGTACTCCTGGTGGAGGTCTCACAATAGCAGACTAGAGAGTGAGAATTGTCTCCCTTGACCTACTTGGCTTTTGATGCAACCCAGGATACAACTGACTTTCTGGTCTACAAGTGCACGTTGCTGGCTCAGGTTCAGGTTTTTTTTTCCACCAGTACCCCCAAATCCTTTTCCACAGGACTCCTCTCAATCGTCTGTATTATAGATATTGGGATTTGCCCAACCCAGGTACAAGACCATGCACTTGACTGTATTTGAACTTTGAGATTTGCATGGGTCTGCTCTTCAAGCCTGTCAGTGTCCCTCCCTCAGGATGGCACCTCTTCCTACTAGTACAGAAACTGTGCCGTTCAGCTTGGTACTGTTTATATCATGAAGACATAGTTATGAAGATATTAAACACTGTTGGTCTCAGTATGGACCTTGGAGGGACACCACCACTCATGATTGGTTTTCATTTCGACATTGACCTATTAACTGTAACTCTCTGGACAGGATTATCCATCCCATTCCTTATCCATCTAATAGTCCATCCATCAAACCCATAGCTGTCCAATGAAATGGCAAGAATGTTGTGGGGGACTGTATCAAAGGCTTTAGAAAGTCTAGGTGGGTGACATCCACAGCTCTTCATTTATCCAGTGATGCAGTCACCCTGTTTTATAGGACCATTAGATTAGTCAGGCACAGTTTGCCCTTGCTGAAGTCTTGTCTGTATCTAATCACCTCCATGTCATCCATATGCCTTGTCATAGCCTCAAGGAGGCTATGACAAGTAAAATCTGTTCCATGATTTTACTGGGCACCATGGTAATGCTGACAGGTTGTTGGTTCCCAGGATCCTTCTTTTTACCCTTTTTAAAAAAAGGCATGAAATTACCTTTCCTCCAGTCATTGGGGAGTTCATCTGACTGCCATGAGATAGGCATGAGTGAAAAGCTACCTGCTATGGGAATGACAAAACATTGCTATTTGTCAGTAAAGGAAGCTATATTTTACATGCAGAGGTGTAGGCTCCTGCTTGTAATTTTTACAACTGCACTGAGGAAGCCTATAGAACACACTTTGATGTCTGTGTTTACCATGTAGTTACAGATTCAGTGTCAAGAAGAATGACTGTAGCTGGTTTGGTTTTCCCATCGAACTGCTTTGGTTCAGGAAGGAGGTATGCTGTTCTTAAGGAATGACTTCAGATAATCTTGCCCTTTGTTGTTATTAAGAGCGCACTGTTTCAAGTATTTCAGGTACTGTCTAGCTCATGACTTAAAAAAATATGCAAATATTCTCTGATTTCTCCCCAGTTTTACAGGATTTGTACAATACTACAGTGTCATTTCAGGCAGAGTTGACATAGTGGACCCAAATTCCTCTTGGTTAGTTGTGGTAATTCGGAGTGAATATACCCAAATATATGCATATGGTTATATTGTCTGTAAAATAAAACTATTTGTGCATTCCTGTATTCTTGAGTGCATTGAAAACCACAAATGCATTATGATTATATTAATCCAGAGCATTATATTTAAACAAAAGCCAGCTCTGAGAGCTGTGGTGAAGCTTTTAGGTTAGCCTGTGTTCTCAAATAATCAGTTGAATTGTTAAAATAACTGTCAGAATTGTAGTGCTTCCAGTAAGCACTTATGTGACTTAGAAAATTCATGTCCTATTCAATACTGTGCATCTTCCATCTAAATTACTTCAACGACTATGGTTAGTTTTAATTAAAGTAGTTTAGAGACAGCTTGAAGTGAAAGCTCGCAAATGAGTTATCCTATCCTCTTGATCTATAAAGGTATTAAAAGAAAGCTTTTACAATCTCATATCCTCTCCTCTTTGAAAAAAATTCTTACATTCACAGAGAGATGTGTCTCCAATGTTGAGTACTCAGGAAAAAGCAACTGTTGGTGGAAGGCTGTAGCAGTGAATGAAGGGATGCATGTGTGCTCACCGAAGAACAAAGTAATGAAGTTTTTGCTATTCAGTGAGGGTGACGTGTTTGATAGGTCCATGTCTATCTGGTAAGTTCTCTCTACCATTTAATGCATGTTTATTTTGGTTCCTTCCTCCTGTGATGGTACTGATCTGACTTCTCTGATGGTAATTCATGACCAGAGAACACCTTGTATTTCTTGTCCACTCGTGCCACAACGAATCATTTATGTTAATTAAGAATGTGTAATAAAATTGTTCAGTTAAGTGCATTGCTGTCTTTTTGTCAAACTGATGGACTAGTCTGAGAGTACATTGATGAGATCACTTAGTACAAGTTGTGTGGTATTTTTGCTTAGACCACTATTATTGCATCAGTGTTGTGATGTGACAACACTGTATTATTTTTATGGTGCCTGTTTGCATTCAACAGAGTTATGGATAAGGATGCAATAATCTCTACGAGGGGTGTGTATATACACACAATTTTTTATATTCTACATATATGTGTGAGTAAAGCAGTATACCGTGTTTTCCCATTTTTGATTCCAGCGTATATTTGTTGCCAGGACTACTAACAGAGACAAGATAATGGGAAATTCTTTGAATAAAAAATTATGCCTGGAAGTTAAATTAAACTTCTTTTTCTGTGATAATAAATTTACGTATTAGTTTTATATCACTTATAATGCTAAGGAATTGGACAGAAAGGGGGCAAAATGCTCTTTTTTGCTCATGGCATCTGTTCAAAAAAGCTATCAATCTAGATGGGTTGCTTACAGCCCTCTTACAATTCTCTACCTGGTAGTAAGGTATTATAGTACATACTGTGTGAACTTGAAAATAATGTAGTATTATCTTAAGAACCTGGTGCATCTAAGTTTTCTTGTCAATTACAGATCAGTCTTCTAGTGACTCTTTAGGTTATTGAAAAGCATAGCACCTCAAAGATAGGTTCTGTAAAGAGTAAGAGCATTCTTTGCTGTAACCACTCAACAGGACTGGATGGGTTGTAGAGAGAATATTTAGAATGTAATATGTCACTGGAAATCACAAAGAAACTCTAGCACAGCCGGGTCAAGAGAATCTGAACTGACAGCATATAGCAGTGTAAGTTTAAACATCCTGTGAGACATCAAGAAAGAATCAAGTCTGTCACTTGCATGTGAAGCATATATGTCAGCTTGATTAAAGGCTTGAGCTGTTTAGTCAGAAGTGTACTAGATGTTAGGGAAGTCTGAAACAATCCATAGTAATGCTTTTGTTGTAGATGTTTCAGTTGTTTTACCACCCAGCTTATATATTTTGTGGGGTTCCTCCCCCTCCCCCTCTATGCCATGTAGTGTTTTGCATTTCCATATGAATTCTTCCAGCCTGACAATCATGTGTTTTTAAATATTCACTTCATAATACGGAAAATTGTCAGTATGTAATTATTATAGAATTATTACTGGAAATTAACAATAAACCAATAGCTCCCTCTGTCCTCCCAACTCTTTTATTTCCTCTTTTGGGGATATCTGCTGATAAAAGAACTAAACTGAGAGTTTGTGTCCTGTACTTTTGTAGCAATGATTGGCAGGATGGGGGTGGGGAAGGGGTTGTTTGGATTGGGTTTGAAGACCTTGGAGTTTGGGTATTGTTTTTTTCTTCTCTGTTGGTATTCTCTTCCAGATTTCAGAAGATGGTATCTTCCTAATTAGTGAATAATAATTTTTAATGCTGCAAAGATTTAAGGTATGATATGAAGACTGAGAGTAGTTAGCATGCTTTGAAATAAATACAGTGAAACATGGAAAAGAGTACTGATTTAAAATTGTAGATAACTGAGATAGTTGTTGTATGAATTTACACTGAAGAAGGAGGTTTTTCAGTTTATCTTTGTTCTCAACACAGTGAGCAATAGACATGTAAACAAAAACTAAACATACTTGTAAATTTAATACCCAAACTGTCATGAATATACAGTTCCGGGGGGGGGGTGGGTGGGGAAGAAAGATGCTGCTTATGCTTTTGACACTTCTTTTACTGCTGATTTAAAAGTTTTCCTAGAGTAATTCAGTATAATTTCTTTTAAAAAAATGCCAGCTAATTCTCCTTGATAAAGGAGTATAAAAACACTCAAAATATTCTACGTTTAGGTCACTTTTAAGTTTTCATTAGACAAATAAATGCAATATTGATACAATTTTCCACTTCTGATATAAAATATCCAGAGCAGTATTTATGCTTAGATTTCCCTTCCAAAAGGAAAATAAAATGTTTTAATTTAAATAAGGGTATTTGTCTTTCACTGCTTATAAGTCAGAGGGATTCTTTGTTTTGTGGTTTATACTAATGTTTTATAAATTCACAGCTTCATTTGAAGGCAAATATTCTTGCTGTAGTAGCTAGTCATGCCATAAAAAGGTTGTTAATGGCTCATCTTCTATTTGTCCCTGCTTTTGAGCAAGGGATATGCAGTGTGCTGGGGTTTTTTTTTCTTTCAGAACTTTTTAGTTCTGGCATGCAAACTTGATTGCAGGTTATCTTTATCTGACATTAGATGTGTTGTGAGCAATGTTAGTTTTAATGAGTAATTTTTGCCAAATTTCAAATGACATCTGTATTCTGCCTTGTGTATATAAGATCTCAGCTGTTCAAGGTACACTCCTGCTGACCTCTTGAGCTCTTAACTTACACTTGAGTAGGCTGAATATTCCTTGGGTAAGCTGAAGATTGATACATTCCAGACCTTGACAGCTGCAGGCTTTTTCTGTGCCAGCTTCAGACAGTCTAAACAGCCGTTTTTCGAAAGAAATTGTTTGGCTCCCAAAACCATTCAGGGAACAGCTTTACCAAGTCCATTAATTCTGCCAAGAGCTTAAAAAGACTGTTTAAACTTCTTTTCATCTTAAAACTGTACTAATTTCTAGCTAATACTAATTCTATTATAGAAAATGCTTAATTATATTACTTACATTTAAATGAAACAGTTTTAGCTATTAAAATATTTAGCATGTTAAATATAAGAAAGTAACATATTATGGTCATTTAACATTCCTTGACTATTTTTTAATAATACTTTATTGTCATAATAAAAAATTGGTACATTTCTGTGTAAACTTTCTTTTTGTGAAGTAAAGGTCACATATTTTAACTGCAGCTGAAGTTGGTGTTTTGGTTGGTTGGTTGGTTTGGTTTGATTTTGGTTTTTTTTTTGTGTTGGGGGCTTTGTTTGTTACTGGTAACATATAGTTGAAGATGAATTTGTGTCCTTATTCTTTTACCTGAAGTCCACTTAGGTAGTGGACTATGCTGCTTAGTTTTGTGTACCTTTACAAAAATTCAAGTACCTATCAAGTACATAGCTTTTCATGATTTAAATTAGAATATCTGGTGATGTAATTACAATATTGCTTTATAGTTCTGTGTGTGCTTGTTCACAGATTGCTGTAGTAACTTTTAATGCCAGTTCCTGTCATCATGAAAAATAAACAACATGTATTGAAATAGCATTGGTTTGCAGTTTTGGAAATTCCAGTGACTTTTAACTTATTTCTGTAGGATTGTAAAGGCTTTTGTTTGTGTTTTGTGGTGGTTGTTGTTATTTCTTTTATACTTAGCCTGTTCTGTGTAGCTGTTCCTTTGAAGTTGGTTTGGTGCACATTCAATATTCCTTACTGCAAGAAAGATTTTTTTTTTTAATTTTCCAGTTAGTATGAGTTTTTTAATCTTGTTTCGTCACTGTTCTTTTAGCATAGACAGAAAAGTTGTGGAACTCAGGAGTGTCAATTTCACTGAATGAGCACAATTTGGAGCTGATTTTACTCTTCCTTGGACAACTTTTAACATAGTCTGCTTGTGCAATATTTATAGCTGATTAGAGGTTAAACCAAACTGCTTATTCAGTTAAAAAAGATTGTACCTAAGTGTTTGTCTTCTCATTAGGAATGCTCATTGAAACTTTGTATTTTATATTTCTCTTATCAAAAGGTCAGTTTCTGGGAGGTTTGGCAAGGTTTAGGTAGAAAGGTGGTTGCCAGAGAGTCAATACATGCTGGATACTTAGCAAAAATTATGGAAGAGATGTGAACGTTTCCCTCTTCCTGTATTGTACATATATACATATTGTTCATTTAGAAAATTCAGTGTGTATTAATGTAGTTTTTCCTTTTTGTTGGGTTTTTTTTGTGATAGAGGAATGCCACGCTTAGAAGTAAGTGTAGAAGTAAGTGTCTGAAAGTTGTGTGCTGTTCAGTGTTCTTGTGATGCCTCAAGCTATTTCCTAGCTGGGAATTGAACTGTATAGGAGCCTGCAGGGTAGGACAACAAACAGACACTGCTGCTTGTATGGAATCTCATGGTATTTGATAGTGCTTCTTGCAGTCATAGAGAAGCCGAGTGTCTCAGCTCTTCTAATATATAAAAATATAAACAGAAAACCCAGCAGCTGTTCCCACAGTCTTGTATACAGGACAGTAAAAGGGAAAGCTAAGGAAGCATGATTATAAGCAAATCCAACTTGTTAAAGAGGCAAACAAAACTGAACTGAACAAAGCTCATGAGCTCGTAAATCGGCATCAGAAACTTTGACTGTTTGCTTGCCTCAAGATTTTTGAGTGTTTGCAGGTGGAATACTATTAAGACTTTTTTATGTTCGTTCTTCTCTCTGCTGTAATGATTTCATGGCCCTTAGACTAATTTGTTAGTGATTTTAAGTAGTTTAGTATAAAATACATAGTGAATTCTGTATTTAAGATATAAATAATGCTCAAACACTTTGCACTTCAGTTCTGCTCTCCATATCACTGATCAGCTGAGCAATTTGAATTAAAATTATTTTAAAATTAGAGTGGTTTATTCCTGTTGTCATTGTTCAAACATTTCTTTATCCTGGAAGTGGTGTCATTTAGAGTATAAGAATTACTGATTTAATGTCATTCTAAATAATTAAAAAGAAGTCACATTTCCATTGCAGTTATTTAGTGAGGTTTAGTTTGGCCACTGTGGCTTGGGTTTTGTTTCATTTTTTTTTCTCCCCCTGGCTTTTTTTAGATGTTAAAATTACTCAGAATTCGGGTTCTGTATAGATCCTAATGCTTTTTGGAAGCCTTTTGCAGCAGTTTTTCCAAATCTGAAAAACATTTTTATTTTTCATTCTGTTTCTACTTGAAAAGAAGTAGTAGGTCATGCATGGTTCAGAGTGTACAGGCATTGTGACTCTTCAGGTGGCATGGCAAGGCATTTTCAGGAGTTGCTGTCTTTTTTGAGGACACATGAAACAAGTGCACACTTTTTACTGTCTCTCAGACTAGATCCATAAAAATTTAGAACACTTAAGCGCATAGGGTGATAGCATGCAATGAGAGGTTTTACTTTAAAAAAAAAAAAGGTGGATAATTGTCTTTTCATCTGAGCTGAGTAACCCAATTAATATGATGCTTACTGTTGGTCTTAATTCTGAGCTGAAAGTTAACCTGTATTTAGCATTTACACTGAACAATGACTTGGATACTGATGCAAAGTCATTTGAGTTCTTATTTATATGACTTATTGTTTAGTTCTGGTATTACCTTTCTTCAGAAAGTGAATGGGATCATGCACCATAATGCACCATAATCCAGTTAGGATTGCTTGTACACAGCAGGGTCACTTACGGTTTTGAAAAGAGGCCTTACGCTGCTAACCCGATTTGGTTAAGGGAGAGATTTCATTCCTTTCAAGTGTTATAAGAACAGCACAAAGTTTTTTGTTAATTGTTTGGTTTTGTTTAGAAATTCAAGAAATGCAGTCTTCATGTTCAACATATTAAAAGCTGTGCACAACTCGCCAAGGCAGTTGGATGAAATTTCTCTGCTTTTATGAAATAGGAACTCTTTCTGTTGTAGTCCATTCTGCATAAGCTGATAATAGTCTTGAATTCTAAGATCTTTGTGCCCATAGCCTTTGTTTTATTTGTTTTCTAATACATTCAGAAAGGTAGTTGGACTTGTTAACGGTGTTCTTTCTTGCAGTAGGTGGTTGACTTTTTCTGAGTTTGCAGCAATACCTTAATAATGCATCAAATCTCCATAAAGATTCATTTCTTGCTTGGTTGAAATAGTTGATGACATCTAAAGATTTAAATAAATGTTAACTAGAAATTACAGTTGTTGAAAGAGGAGGATATTTTTTAAACCAACAGTCATGAATCCCCTCACTTCTCACTTGCTCAGCATTTTTTCTTATGTTTTTTAGTACGTTTAGCACTACCTAATTTCTCTGCAATTTTAAAAATTAAAATATGTGCATTTCTAAATTTGAAGGAAAAACATATCAGAACTTTTAAAAAAATCTTTGAAGCTTTCCTCTTAAATCACAGAAAAATAGGTGCAACTATCTCTTCTATTTCTATAATAATTTTTAAGGTTTGCTAAATCCAGAATTCAGTGTGTTTGACTGTTGCGGTGTTACTCTTGATGAAATAATTTGGGCTCAGCAAAATGATAAATCTGCATAAAATCTGCTAGCTTTAGAGAGGTCTTTTGATTTTATGTTGAAGATAGCTGTTTTCTTGTTCTGAAGAAAGAGAACTATTATGATGGAGTGATTTGTTATGCACTGGTACTGATACTGCATGTAAAGTTCAAATTTCCTTCCTGGAAGGCGAAAACTGATCAGGAGCAAATGAATGAAAAAAATAGCAAAAATTGAAAAAGCATTTTCTACTACTGAGTTTTACTCTAATCATACAGTGTGTGGTCTTTATTGACTCTCGTGAGGCTTGTCAAACTTGTAGTGCTGTTGAACTGTTCTGCGTCTTGGATGACCATTGCTTTTAGCTGTTTCAAGTCGTGGCCTCACAATACTGTGATTAAAAGTGCAATCTGTTCTTATTCTTAAGAAATGAGAAACAGAAAACCTGTGGAGAAACCAGAGAGTGAAGTTGAAGATAGGAACTCAGGTCTTCTGCTTCATTTTATAAGCAAGATGGAGTTGTGCAGAGATGAGGTACTGTGCTGTTTGTTCAGATGATTTTAATGAAGTTCTGGTTAACTAATGATATCTGTGGTATCTTACTAGATTAAGTTCCAGAAGCTTGGGAGAAGAAGGAAGTAGAGGAATGGATAGCTATAATAGTGTTGGTTTTCCCTTTAGATTGTGTATTACTCTCATGCAAATTCTGTTTTCTTTTTAACATTTAAATTTGGTATTAGAAAAAATTTCTTCACACGCAGGGTTATGAGGCATTGCAACAGGCTGCCCAGGAAGGTGGGGGTCACAATCCCTGAAGGTATTTAAAGCTGTGTAGATGTCCCACTTAGGGATTAGTGGTGGACTTGGCAGTGTTAGGTAAGCAATTAGATGCATTGATCATAAATGTCTTTGCCACTGTAAATGATTCTAAAAAACTAGTAGACATAGCTGCACTCTCATGATTTTTGGCTGTTGAATAGACTTAGCTGCCAATAGATGATTTTGGCTTATTAGTCCCCAGTTTAGGGTTAGGCTATGCTTTCTTATTGTTCTATTTGTTTTCATCTTTTGCTGGTTTTTATTTTTCTCCACTGACATTTTTATATAATGAACATAGGGTTTTATATTGTAAAATAACTAATATTGGTGCTTCCAGTAATAAAATGGTATTGGAATAAAAGTACACCAGTGAAAAGTAACAACTAGTATGTAGTAGAAGATATAAATCTGAGAAAGCTTTTATCTGACATCTAGTTTTCACAAACTTTCTGAAGTCTGTTTTGAAAGAACATTGTTTTCTTGCTCTCACTTGAGTTTTTTTCAGAAGCTTTTATATACTGTAGGTTAACTGAGTGTGTGTTAGAAGACTGATTTAGTGTATAGTTTGAAATAAAATGAAAGAGCTGCATGTGGTAAAACTTAATGTTGAAGCATGTATTCCAGGCTTAATATGTAATACAAATTGTCTGACTGCTAAAAATAACAGTAACAGATATAGCAAAAGACAGCCTTGTTTGAAGATTATCAGTTTCTACTGTCATATGTGACATTGTATGCTCTTTTATTGTTGATTGTAGGTATTTGTGTTCAAAATTCTGTATGGTTAAAATCTTGTTTATTCCATAGAACCATTGGCCATGTTTTTGTCATTCACAGAACAGTGAATCACTTGTAGGGAATTTTCACTAGAATGCTTTCGGTGTTTGTTTAGTTGGTTTTTTTTTTTAGTAATTGTCTTTTTAATATGCTCAGTGTAACTTTTTTGTCTGTTAAAGGCATAGCATACATGTAATGTATTTTTATCTTCTTTTTTTTTCCTATTTCTAAGGCTGATAAAGAATTTGTGTGGTCTCTGTGGAAACTCCTGCAAGTGTCAAGTCCAGATCTTATGCAAGCTGTCGGCTTGGTTGTGGAAAGGTGAGTTTGAAGATTTAACATGATACTAAAATCAACAACCAACCTCTTCTGCTGATACCTTATTCTTTATCTTTCTAAGTGAGAAAGTTTTTAAAAATGTGTTACAAAAGTTCAATTGCTAAATTTTGTCAAAAGTGCAAGTTTCCTTTTTTGGTGCCAGTTGAAGCATACTTCAAGATCTCTTCTCACCGAGATTTCTGTGCTGCAGCTGAATACAATTTTTAAATTACAAATGTACTGCATATTTTATTTTTCTATTGAAAGAACAGGAGGAGGTAAATTACATTTTCCAGTGTCATAACTTGTTGGATAACAGTTATATATATAAATTAGATTTATCTGAATTCTTAATGAAGTGAAAAGCTAAGATATGGTAACAGAAAAGATAATCACAGAAATGCTGACTTGGATGGGACCCATCAGGATCATCGAGTCCAGCTCCTGGCCCTGTGCAGGATATCTTCAAGAGTCACACCATGTGCCTGAGCGTTGTCCAAGCACTTCTTGAACTCTGTCAAGCTTGGTGCTGTGACCATTTCCCTGGGGAGCCTGTTCCAGTGCCAACCACCCTCTGAGTGAAAAACTTAGATGCTGCCTTGATGCACACAAACATGATAATGAGCTGAATTTTTTTGCAATGGTAGGAAATGTTTGTGAAACCCTTTTAATGTAGTGTTCAGCTTATCAGAAGGCTTGCTACAGAAATCTCATGTAATAATAGTCTATTATGTATGAAGGTAAAGATATATTCTGTGTACGTGCTTTGCACTTTGTATAGAGGCTGGTGAATGGTACTCGTACACGAAAGCCTAACAACATACTTTTGTTAAGGTGCTTGTCTAGTTTTTCTATGTCCTCTCCTATTTTAGGTAACAGTAATGCCTTAGAACACTTCTAAGGTGAACTCAAGGTTATACATCTATATCATACCTTTCTCATAATTCTCCAAATTATGAAATTAAGAGAGAAGAATTGCTTCCACAGCATCTTTTTAGGTGTTAACCCCTGATAATCCTGGAATAGGTTTGGATAAAACCCATTCAGTATATAAGAGTTTTACTAATCAAAACTTTGGAGTTGCTTTGATTTCACAGATGGAACAATATTTTTCTCTTTAACCGATGTATCTTCATCTCTTCTTCCTGAGATTGATCTAATTGCTGCTTCAGAAATAGTTTCTAGCCAGGCTTTGCCTGTGAATCTTCTACACAACCAGATTACAGCCCCATATATCCTCTCCTAACTTTTCCAGCTATGTTTCCATAATAATTGCCTAAGTAGCGTCAGTTTCATGACTGTACCTCCTTACACTGTCATCCTTTCAGAAAAGTTTTTGTCTTACTCCCTACCTTATAGCAGTAAACAATTATTTTTTTGTTGTTATGCCAATGTCAATTTGTCTCAGTTCTAATACATTGATAAGCTTTCCAGGGAATCTGCTACCTAGCACTGCTACTGTCCAGAAAATTACAGGACAAGTGATTTTCTGTCTTTGTTAACCTAGGAAAAATATGTGGATTTAAAAGTTTTAAGAGATAGGATTACAAAGTAATAGTTACAAGCACAATGGTTCCTGAAGCATGTCATATGGGAGATCTGTGCTTCTTGCAGCTTCTTGCAGTTTTTGTATATTTTATATGGTTGTATCAGGTGAACTGGAATTTGAAAATTTATGCTCCAATCTGATAAAAACCAGCTGAAGTCTTGGAGGCTTTTTTGTCTTCTCATCTATATTGGAAATAACATTGACCCCATCATAGCCAAGTTGATAATACTTTCCATCTTGTCCTGGCCTATGGGGAGATTTTGAGATAGAAACAGAATGAAATGGATTTAAACCTTTTGTTGTTTCTTCCTGTGACATGGATACCACCAATATTTGCATAACTTCATTTTTCAGTGTGTTCTTTCCACCAAGAATTCCATAACCAAGAAACTTTCATTGCCCACCAAATCTTTGTTAGACACTATCTGAGGTCAGAAGCCAGATACAGAATGGAAACAGACAGTTGAAGAAAGCATAGACATGTGTATCCTAGATCATATATATAAAGAATCAAACAATATCATCCAGTAGATTTCAGTCATTAAATTGATGAAAGAGACAGCTGGGCTTTCTTCATGAGATTACAGTGACAAAAATAAAAAGATACAGGACAAAATGTTTATTTGGAACCTTATAACTTATACCACAGATGTGTGATGAAAAAAACAGATATATTAGGAGGAATCGAGTGGGCAATATTAGCTGTACAGTCAGCTAATTTATGTTTATAGCATTAGACAATTCCTTATAGTATCTTTTTACAAACAAATCAGGGAAATCTAAAAGGCATAATTTGGGGGACTAAGGGGGGAATTAATAGTACCTTGCCATTATTTGTCTGATATTTTGAAATGCTTTCATGGTCCCAAAATAGAAGTTCACCTGCCCTAAAACTGTAAAAACATAGCTTGTACCTTTTTATGGCTGTGCTGCTGATTCCTGTAATACATCAATGATATACTTTTCAGCAGTCTTTGCAGTTCTTGCTGGATAACTGTAACTATATTCCCAATTTAATATTCAGATATAAACAAAAAATTATCTTTACTGTGCAAATGAGAAATGCCTTTGGGATATGTAAAAGCCTCCAGGTATTTTCAAACAAACCATTGTAAATCTACTACTCATGTTAGTATACTTTCCAGCTACTTTAAATACTATTGATCTCAGTATTATGTAGAGAGCACACTATTTCTAGTTCACTACCGTCTTTTTTATGATTTAAAAAATATGCTAGAAAATACCTCTTATTAGGTAAATGCATGTGTGAACTGAAATGGAGTTGGGGTTCAAATGAGAGTATCAAAGGTTTTGAAATATTTTTGCAAACTTCAGAACTTCGGTTTAAGACACTCCTATAGTACATGCGATCTTGACAAGTTAACAGACTAATTTTCCTCTAGGGCTTCTACGTGACTCCTTTCCTTTCTTCGGAAAGGGGATGTAGCAGGATCCATTAATGATCAAACTGTGGCAGTGATACAAGACTTGGTAGATGTACATGGGGATTGTATTATGCTAGGTGATACCCTTACAGATACTTATATTTGGCAAGCTTGCCTTACATAGATGTTTTTCCACAACTAAATTTCGACTCTGCTGTGTCTTACAGGTCTTAACAAACAGAAAGAATGGATTTATCATTTCATAAACAGTGGCAACCTGAATGTTAGTTCTAGTGATTGAGAGTTTTGTTGTTGTTCTTCCTGGGGAGTTACATCTATCTAAAGGTGCGCAAATGGACAAAAATATGGCTGAAAAGCAAGAGATCATAAATAACTAAAGAATTTTTGGCAAGGTACTTGCAGGAGTTTATGCTGTGATTTGCAGCATTCTGTGAATAGCAAATTGTGGAAGAAACATTAAACAGGTTGACATAGATTCTTCACTGACTGACAATATGCAGATGTACTTAAAATGGTAAGTACTTTTTATATAAAAGGATAAGTGAATGTGCTGTGTGAATGAGCAATATAGATTGCCTGTGTTAATTGAAAAATAATTAAAAATCTGTATCTTGCATCTTTTAAAGGGCTGATAAATATCGTGCAGAAGCTTTCTGAAACCACTGTTTTACTCTTCTGCAAATTAACAGGAAACAGAATGACAGTAAGACCAGGAAGTAAACAAGATTCAAGACATTTTTAAAGGCCATTACCATTTTGTTACTCTGAATTTAAAGTAAAACGGACTCCCCAGTTATTATCACTCCATAAAGTGGACAGAATAATAGAGTATAAGAGTACAACCTTTCTGTCTAAGGTCAAATAATTGTGATTTTCTACAGTTAATGAAAGTTTAATATCCTGTTTCATTAAAAATTCTCAGAACATTGAACATAAGTCAACATTCCATGGAGAAGAAGGTATTATGCAGTTTGCATGTGTGCATATCTGCATATCGGAGCACAAAATATTGACATGATAATTGCAGTCAAGCCTGATTGAACAGCGGCCTCTGGGAATTCAGCTGGTGTTGTACCAACTGGATGGCTGCTCAGGACACAGTTTGAAATGCAAGGTGCAAGTTAGCACTTTATTCAGCACAGGCAGGCATCATTTAAAAATCCTTGGGGGAAACCCTGGTGATGTGCAGATGTTAAAGCAGTCTGTTCTGAAGTGCTGATATTTTGAACACTATAAGAGACTTGTGTATTTTAGATGAAAAATGTTTGCAAAATTGTTAGGCAAAAATGTCACCATTTTCTGTACTCCTTTAGTGTAAAAATATGTTTAGTATTTTATGTATGTTGCTTAAAATAAGAGGCTTTAATAAATCATCTAATAATTAAATCAAGTTGGAGATGCAAGAAAAATAACATTTTTGTAATGATGCCTTTCCATTTTGATATGTATCATGGAACATAGAACTGACTCTAAATAATTTACTACGGAAATAATTTCCTTTTATGTATTTTATTTGGATCTTAAATTATTTTTGTAAAGAAAAATAGGTGTGTGCAACTATATTATAGAAAGTAACTGCTTAGAAAAGTGCAAAATGTGTGGTATTCATTTAAATTCCTTTTTGCTCTATGCTGTCTGAATCTTTTAAAAGTATATTTGTAAGTATTAAAATAAAAAAAATGTATGTGTATCAATTGTAATTCATCATGAAGTATAAAGATCTTCTAGGAGGTGAAATTAAACTCTTGATTAAATGCAGGCTTTTTAGCTCTGCATTTTTTTTAGCATTTCTTAATACATGGAAACACAGTAAGGTTTCTTCATGAAATATTAAGGCATAGGTTCTGTTTCTACTAACCACTGACTGTGCAACCGCAGGGATGTGACTGTACACAGTAATTACAGTATTGGTGCCATATTTACTGTAACACTGACAGTCTGTGCTCTACGACTTCACTTTGCACGTGGGCGATTCATTTTCTGTTTAATACAAACATAGATTTTGGAAGTCTGTAAAATAGTTGAAAGTTGGAGGACAGGGAAATAAGGTAATCAAATTAAAGCTGCATCACAAAACTGATATTTTACAGCCTTTCTAGTTCTGCGGTCTTTTATAAGCAATGAAATATCTCTCAAAAGTAACAGTGTTTCTAGAAGCAATTTATTTTAGTTTGAATATACTGTTAAAATATAGCCTTTTCTCTTTTTACCATAGTGCCCAGAGTTCACAGTGTAACCTTAACTTTCTTTGTAAGGCCAAATTTGTAGATGTGTTTTAGTTTTTGAGGTTTTTTTGGTTGATTGGTTTGGTTTTTTTTAATCCCACTGTTTGTAAAACTGAACAGACAAATTCCGTGAAACATGTAAACAGCAAATTAAATTTATTAGTTAAAGTTATTTTCATTTAGTTGATGTATGACATAATTACATATGACTTCAAGTTACTTTTTCTTGACAAATGGTTAGGTACTTGTCTGACTAAGACCTGTAGTAGGATACAAGATGCCTCTACGCCCATACTGCTTTTGCTGAAGATTTTAGGAAGAATATTGTTTTAGAAACTTAAACAAAATTCTGGTTTTTAAAATGTTAGGGGTTTTGATGATTTTGTACCTCATTCTTAGTTAAACATTTTCTCACAGTCTAATATTTCATTTGTGACAAGCTATTAAAATTGTGCAAAATGTCAAAAGTGTTGTCCTGCTGTATAAATGAGTAGAGCATAACACAGGGAAAAAATCACATCAGAGGAAAAGTGTCAAGCTTAAGAATATTTTCTCGATTTCTCAATTTTTGTGGGAAGCTGAATCTCGATAATCTTTGTATCTAAATGCATCTGTGTTAAACATTTAAAATAGGTAGTACTCATGGGAAGACTGATTGGAGCTCAAAACTTGTACAAATTGACAGCTTCTCTTCACTCCATTTTTCATACTAAAGAAGTCTGCAAATATTCTTAGCTCACATCATTATTGCTCATCAGTGATTCTAATTAGCTAAACAGGAGTTTGTCTCAGTCATTGATCATCATCAGCTTCTTGACAGTGCCAGAATTTCTGCCCCCTCCATATTCCAATGGACTTTTAAAAATATATTTTAAATGCTTAACAGCTCAATTAATAAAGTTGTTTGAAGATTTTTTTTCTTAATATTTGTTACTCTTCAAAAAAAGAGGAGGTGATTGCTGCAATTCCTATCAAGTCTCATTTCAAGGTGCAACTGCAGATCCAAATATGATATGTAAGTTCTAGTCAGTCATACTAGAACTTACATTATGGGGAACTATTCTGTGACGAGTATGGAAAACAGTCTTATACCTCCAGGAAAAGTTGCTGATAAAGTTGTATATGAGGTTTCGATTTGTGCTTTAGGCTTCTGACAACATCCATTGTGTGCTTATATTGTGGAAATTAGAACATTTTTCTTTAACTGTGGGTGGTAACGTGTGAAATTATTTTTGGTGGCATTACTACAGCCTGTGCTATCTAGGAAGTCTGAAAAAAAACCTCAGAGAAGAAAAAAAATTACTTAAACTTTTCCCATTCATTACAGTGATGATCTATCTGTTTTTATAAACTATGTTCCTTGACATCTTTGTTCAAAGGAGTGTTTGACCAAGTATCAGAAAAGTGGAAAATGCTGCATTTAACTAGAAATGCACTTTCAACCACTGGCTAGCGTGTGTGTCTATTACAGGCATATTTTTTGTTTTAACAGTGATCTGTGTTTTTTTTGTCTTCAGTCCCAGACTTTATTCTTCAAACCCCTTTCATGCAACCATATCCTTAAGTCAGAGGGCTCCAGAAATTCTTGACTACCAATAATATGCCAGAATTGGCTGTGAATACTATTTTTCGAAGCAGTTTGTTCTTTATTTGGTTCTTGGCTGGCTTATTCACTTTCTTCCTAAAAAAATTAGGAAAAATAAATAAATAAAAAAAAAATTACACCCCCACAACCGTAAAGTTCCTTAGGGCTGAGAAGTCTACCTAACTGACCAGATTTTCAGATCAATTAGTGCATTAGAAAAGAAGTTTAATAATACTTTTCAAGTGATAATTGCATAGTTGAGTTAGGAGGCTAGCTAGTTACCCAGTATTGGTGTTTAATTGAGTCTTTTTCTAAGCAAGGTTGGCTTTGTGAGAGGAGATGATGGTTAGAGTTGGGAAAATGATGGTATACTGTGGATGGTAGATACAGAATGAGTGGTAGAGCAATGATTTAATAAACAGCTAAATTAAAATGGAGAGGGAAATGTGGGAACAAAGAATGGATTGGACTTTCCAGCGAGCAGTTAAGGTCAGGATACTTCTGAGAACTGGAGGCAATGCTAGTGATTCAAGAGGCTTGTGTGTTTGTGCCTTTTGTGATATGATTCTTCTTGTATCTGAACATCTGAACTTTCTTTGCCTTGTGTCATCTGAAGCGCTTAGAATTTTGGCTCAGCTAGTTTTGTGTATGTATCTAATCTTAAATTCTTAAGTTGTCTAGCTGTACTTAAGACTTGAGGAAACTTTGAATGTTTAATACTTGAATACTTAAATTTTAGACATATGCTGGTAAAGGTCCATCACTTGCTCAAATAGACCATGGTGTAACATGCTTATTGGAGAGCGATACCTTCCTCCCAAAATATTTGGGGTTTGATTAATGAAACTGTTGTCTTTGAGAAAGGGTACTTGCTAATAGACACTAAAAACCCCACAGCAAAGTAATTAAGTATAAAGTGACGGGGGGTGAGCTGTAATTCCCCTTAAGCAAGACCCAGAAGGACCACTCTGCATGCAAGTCACAGTGTGACACAGAATGGCCGTTTATTGGACATGGACGCCGGCTTATAAAGGGAGAGCAGGGAACTTGCTAGAACAAAGGGTGGAGACTGGGAGAAGTATTCAAGGAGCGGCCAATCACAGTAACAAGGGGTGGAACTTATCTAAACATGGACAAATGAAAAACTATCTCTGAAGAATACTGGAATGTGGCAGGGTTGGACAAATAAGGAAAGGATTTACATAGAACCAATGGGAGAAAAGGTGACAGGAGTACAGAGAAGGGAATCATACATTCTCATAATAAAACATTATGCCAAAAAGAGAACAATTGTATAACACTGGAAATAGGCACTCCTGTGGTTATGATGATCATATCTTGTGCATGACGGCGTAGGAGCACTCTGAGATGTTTACTTCCTCTTCCTCCACTCTATCCTCATTAGTTCTCTTTCACCACTCGTAAGACTCTCTTGAGGCACCTCCATCTCCCCCTTCTTTGTTTTGAAGAACTGGAAAAGCTTGGGATACACTTTTAAACACAACTTTTTTGACAAAACATACGATGCATTGGATAAAAGTAAGAATGGAAAATGTGGTTAACAGAAAAAGCACGCTTTAAAAAATTAATTTATTTACCCTTCAGGAGTGAAGGAAAATGAAGCCAATCCAACAGCCCTGCAATTCCTCGGTCTCGATTAATGGTTATATCGTTCACTAAATTTTTTAATTTTTTAATACTATG